ACACACACAGACACAGACACACACACACACACACACACACACACAAAGAGATAGATAGATAGATAGATAGATGATAGATAGATAGATAGATAGATAGAGGGGTGAAATCCAGCAGGTTCTGACAGGTTCTGGAGAACCGGTAGTGGAAATTTTGAGCAGTTCGGAGAACCGGTAGCGGAAACTTTGAGCAGTTCGGAGAACCAGAAAATACCACCTCTGGCTGGCCCCAGAGTGGGGTGGGAATGAAGATTTTGCAGTATCCTTCCCCTGGCGTGGGGTGGGAATGGGGATTTTGCAGTATCATTCCCCTGCCATGCCCACCAAGCCACGCCCACCAAGCCACACCACACTCACCAAGCCACGCCCAGAGAACCAGTAGTAAAAATATTTGGATTTCACCACTGGATAGATAGATAGATAGATGGATAGATAGATAGATAGATAGATAGATAGATTTTGTTGATTTGTCTCCTGTTTCCTTGTCTGGCTCCTATGGTAAAAATTATATGGAGCAAATATCCTTCAGGGTTATCTTGCAGCTATGTGGTCCCAGAATTAAGATTATGAAAAGGCGGGGGGGGGAGTTGTCATAAAAACATTAAATGTTCATTTACAGCCGTTCCTCTGTGCATTCTTGTAATCCCATCAAAAAATAAAGTGTTCTTCAAGTCAAGTTCAATTCTTGGTTACTTTGGAGCCATGCAGAAATGATTTACCATTAGTCTGGAACAAGAGTGTCAAACTTGCCGCGTCATGTTGCCGTCACGTGATGTATCGCGACATTTTTTTCCCTTTGCAGAGCTGTGGTGGGCGTGGCCCACATGTGACTCATCCGGTGGGCCGCCAGTTTGACACCCCTGGTCTAGAGTGTTTCTCAACCTTAGCAACTTTAACCTTAGCAACTTTAAAACTTTAAAATTGCTACCATTCCAGTTATCTCTAGCATATTGTACAATGGGTTTTAATTCTTCATAGTTATTTTTATTCTGATTTTATTGTTTTTTCTTGGGCCATACTACTAGAGCAGGGGTCCCCAACCCCTAGTCCTTGAACCAGCACTGGTCTGCGGCATGCAAGAAACCAAGCCGTGCACACAAGTGAAGCCCCATCCACAGGATGCAGGCAGCATGGAAAACCACACCACCTCTGATCCAAAGGAAAAAACTCTCTCCATGGAAATGGTCCCTGGTGCCCAAAATGTTATGGGCCATTGTACTAGAGTGTATTGTTTGACTACAACAGATCCTAAATTAATTCTCTAGCATGCCCACATAGAATTCAGATAGGCTGTTCTTTGAACCCAAAGATGGACTGGTAGTCTAATTTTCTACAATAGGGAAAGACCATAGTAGATATTGGTAGAGAAGATCTATTGTATACAACATGTTTTGTGGCCACTAGTCTACATGTAGAGCTGGGAAAGAACTTGCCCGAAATACAAGATAGCTGCTTTCTCTCACTTAGATCCAACAAAGTAGCCAACTTAGGGCAACTTTCTGTTTTTCTGGAAAAATGCAGAAATCAAGGATGGCAAATATGCTTTGCATGGCAAGGATCTCTAGCTCATTCTCTAGCAACTGGTATTGAAGTCAGAAGAACTGCACATGCGAAGGGTGGAGAGAGCCTTTTGATCAGTGAAAACATACCTAGCTAAGGAAAAATCAATAGCCATTGTGTACCTCAGTCTCATTTCTTGCATTTATTGTGTGGAAACCCCACAGTGTCTGACACACGTATTTCTTCCTACTGTTATTGTAGACACATGTGCAACATTAATTCTGACAAAACACTGGCTCACATCTGTATATCCATTGCTTCTTGGCTGCATCATTTAGCAATTGCTTCTATATTTGAATGTGCTATTACTGATAGATCTTTTACACCACTACCTGCATCATTATTGGATTTTTTTTTAACCAATGGAATCAATAAACTTCTTCTGACCTGAGGACCATACCTGGTCTTTGATCTGCCAGGAACTTTACTTCTCCCAGCTGGGTAGGACCATGACAGAAATGTTCCCAAAGTTGACTGAAAACCCCAATTTGATTTACTTTAAACTGAAACTTTGTTTAAAATTAAGTTAATCAGCATGTTACAGTGGTGGGTTGCCCCCGGTTTGGACCAGTTCTATAGAACCGGTAGTAAAACCGGCGGGATGCTCTGCTGACTGACCTGATGTCACCAGAAGTGATCTGTGCATGTGCAGAAGCAAGGCGCACATGTGAGCAAAGCAAGTGCATGCACGCGATCCCGTTGTGAACAGGTAGTAAAGTAGAACTCACCCCTGGCATGTTAATATGTATTTTATTTTTAATATAAATGCTAATATGATTAATCATCATCATCATCATCATCACTATTATTCTAGCCGTTGTCTATTCACTGAAGGCCTCTTCTGCATGTTTCCAACCAATGCAGTCTGGAGTTTTCTTTTGCCAATTGGTCCCGCAATACTTGCTGATGTCATCAATCTATCTTGTTTTAGGTCTCTTTCATGGATGCTTTTTATCAAGTTGGATCCATTCTATGGCTGCCTTGACACCTGCTATCAGTTCTTTTTGCTATGTGACCAGCCCATTCCCATTTCAATTCTTTTACTCTCTTGATAGCAATAGCAATAGCACTTAGACTTATATATCACTTCACAGTGCTTTACAGCCCTCTCTAAGCGGTTTATAGAGATCAGCATATTGCCCCCAACAATCTGGGTCCTCATTTTACTGACATCGGAAGGATGGAAGGCTGAGTCAACCTTGAGCCTGGTGAGATTCGATCTGTCAAATTACAGGCAGCCAGCAGGCAGCAGAAGTATCCTGAGTACTGCATTCTAACTACTGCGCCACTGCGGCTCTTATATCGTATGTTGATGATATCATATACTCTCTAATCCATGTGCATGTCTTTCTATCGTGTCTTGAAATGTTGATCATGTATCTTTCCATAGCTTTATGCACTACTCATAGATTTTGTATTGATTGTGAGGTTAGTGTCCGTGTTTCACAGGCATATGTTAGAGCAGGTACCACACACAATTTTCTGAAAATTAGAAAGGTGGTGTCAAAACATGTCATTCAGGGTCAGCAAGAGTAAAATGATGTATGTTGATGCCAAAAATCAAAAAAACTATTTTTACAAACTAAAAGGAACAGAGCTAGTAGTGACTGATCAGGAAACAGATTTTGGAATAATAGTAAACAGTTTAATGAAGGTGCCAACATTAGACCAGAAAATAGAAATGTCAGTATTATAACACTTTTATATATAACAATAGTATGACAACATCTGGAATATTATATATGACTCTTGTGCTACACTACAAAATTATATAATGGAACTAGACAGGTTTTTTGGGGGGGGGCACACAAATGATTAAGGGTCTGAAGCAGCTTCCCTATGAGAAAAGATTGGAAAATCAGAGATTTTTAGTATAGAAAGGAGATAAATGAGAGGGGATGTGATTGAGATGTAAAAAAAACCCCTATGTATAGTGTGGATTAAATGGACAAGGGAAAGCTATTTTCCCCTTTTTAAAAAATTAGAACTAGAGGTCACCCAATCAATTTGAATCCCAAAGAATTAAAAAAAATGTTTTTTTTACATAACGTGTAATTCAGATTTGGAATATGCTACCTGTTGTGCTGCCTATTAACTTGGCTGGCTTCAAACAGGGTTGGACCCAGGGATGAGATTCAGCCAGTTTGGACTGGATGTTAATTTTAATCTGGTTCACCGAACCAGTTGTTCCAAGGACTGGCTAACCCCACCCACTCCACCTTGCCCCTTCCAGGAGTCTCCGTGTTGCTTGTTTTGGATGCCAGATAAGTGCAGGGCACGTGTGAAGGCTCTGGGAGGGCAAAAAATGGGCCTACAAAGAGTCTGGAAATGGGCCTGTTTCTGGCATCCGGAGGGTCTCTGGAGCCTGGGGGAGGCCATTTTTGCCCTCCTGGAGGTTCCAGGAAAGCCTCTGGACAGCAAAAAACGGGCCTACCAGAAGTCTGGAAGCAGGCCCATTTCCGGCCTCTGGACGGCCTCCGGTTCCCGGGGGAGGCCATTTTCACACTCCTGTAGGCTCCAGGAAAGCCTCCGGAGCCTGGGGAGGGTGAAAATGCCCCCACCGTGGTGCAGAAGGCCGAGTAGGCCACATCCCTGTGGCCACACCCACCCAGTAACTGGGCAATGTACCGGTTGCCAAAATTTTTGAATCCCACCCCTGGTTGGACCAATTTGTGAAAATCATGAGAATCAAGGTCTATTGGCCTTAATGGCAGTGTGACATCCTCTGAAGACCATCTGAAGGGAGGCTAGCAGGCTTCATTGTGCAGTTGGTTGGCTACTCTGTGAACTGACTGCTGGATTAAATGTCCGGGGGTTCTGCTTTTGTTCTTTCCGTCACAATAAACATTATAAATGAAGTTTGGGGGCAGGTTTTATCAGGCCATGGGTTATTCAAGTGAAGCATTTCTCTAATACCATAGTAAAAGTTATAAATAGATTTTCGATAGCATATTATTCTGTGTTGCGGAAGCAAACCCTTAAGTAAACACTTGTACTTACTGTATGCTGGTGAGCCCCAAATACTCGCTAAACCACAAGCTTTACTATAGGTCTCCAGGGCAGAAAAAATAAACTTCCTAAACATTGGAGGCTGCCTTGAGGATTCAAGGCATTGGTGGAGGGCAGAATCCCCATGCATACGCGGAGAGGCTCTCTTGAGTTTATTATTTTAGTCGATTTTCCTTGACATCAACCTATGACTTTCTCTAAGTGACAAGAAAATTGCAACTGGCCCTTGACAGTCGGGCACAAATTGACTGAACAGAACAAAATCAAACCACAAAGTAATCCCAAAGCAAACGTAATAAACCCAAAAGTCCCAAAGGATAACATTCTTCTGCAGGCAGTGGTCTTATTGAATAAAGTCTGCCCACTTCTTTGTTTGAACACTATGTTTATCAAGACAAATGTAATTCATCGGTTTACATTTCCTCTTCCCACAGCTTGTCTGCGAGGCGCATATGGAGAGAACTGTAACCAAGTATGTCAGTGCTCCAGAAAGAATGAAGAATGCCACCATGACAGTGGCAGGTGTGGGTGCCTGCCAGGTTATTATGGAGCCCATTGTGACCTTCTTAAGTGATGTTCTTGTTTCATCAACTTCCCTGATACCTGGTTGATTGGTTAGAACCAGTTCTCGGAATTCTGTGGTTTTAATAAAACAAAGCCAGCCTTTGTTGTCTTAACAAAGGTTGTGAATGGGGGAATCTTATTTTTATTGAACTGTCAACTGTTTGGGGATAGCCAAAATCCATCTTAAATTATTTAAATGAACGCAGAAGAAATCGTGGTAATTCTGATCACGTTTCATAGCTGTCCAGTAGGTAAGGATATTTGCTGACATTTAGCCATGTTGGTTAAGGTTGCCAAGAGCTGAAATTCTGCAGCACCTGAAAAGCTGCACTCTGTGCATCCATTTCACACAAATGCAAATATTCTGCACGTATTTTAAATCTACGGTCTTTATAATCTGTTTGTATGCAGATGGGCTTAAAGACCATTTTGGATGTTGCTGGAATTTTTTACCATGCTCTTTTCTACTTAGCATTGTATTTCAGGGTAGAAAAATTTTTACCACTCGAGGAGGAGATGTCCATGTCTCTTCATAAAATGTTGCTATGGGTATCATGTCACCAGAAAAGATATTTATCAGAAGGCAGACCACCCACTCTCTTTTCAGTGTTTTCCTATAACCTTAGTTTTCCAATATTGTTTATCAAGACATGTAGATATATTTCCAATGAAAAAGCAATGGAATCCACCCTCCAACTGCCCTTCATTGTCTAAGAATACCTACTAAGATGATGTTCAAAAAGATTCATGGAAGTAGATAGAGGCTAGCAGTGGCCAAGAGAGGTGTCTGCAGTCCAGGGGAGAAATCCAGCAGGTTATAACAGGTTCTGAAGAACTGGCAGTGAAAATTTTGAGTAGTTCGGAGAATCGGCAAATACCACCTCTGGCTGGCCCCAGAGTGGGGTGGGAATGGAGATTTTACAATATCCTTCCCCTGCCACGCCCACCAAGCCATGGCCACAGAACCAGTAAGGAAAAATTTTGGATTTCACTCCTGCTGCAGTCATCATATTGCTTACTCCCTGGAGTAAAGTATAGATGAGGATGAGGATGATATCACCACTACATTGGATGTTGGAAAGGGAGTTGCATGGAAATCCCAGATTGTTTATACTCATATTATCTCAATTTGTACTTTAAACCATGCATAAAAGTGTATATATTTTTTTATTTATGCCTCTGTGCTGATGAAAATGTACCTCTTCAACAAATGTCCAGAGCTACTCTCAACTGGGTGGGGTCATGACAGAAAAGTGCCCACAGCTGAGTCAAAAACCCAATTTGATTTACTTTAAACTGAAGCTTAGTTTAAAAGTCAGTTAATAAGCATGACAGGCCTGGTGGCACAGTGGTTAGAAGGCAGTACTGCAGGCTAACTAATTGCTTACTGCCAGAAGTTTGATTCTGAGTTGACTCAGAGCTCAAGGTTGACTCAGTCTTCCATCCTTTTGAGGTGGGTAAAATGAGGACCCAGATTGTTGGGGAAAATATGCTGACTCTGTAAACCGCTTAGAGAGGGTTGTAAAGTACTGTGAAGTGGAATATAAGTCTAAGTGCCATTGCTATTGCTACATAGGTATCATGAATAATTTTAGATCAAGGCTGAAAAGTGTTAAGAACTTTGCACAGAATACATGGCAAAAATGCTGAAGGAATTATTTGTACAATCAAGATTTATAATAATTTAACATGGATTTAAAATCCTGAAAATTGTAAAACATTACAAATGTATGTTATGGATTTAGGAGAAATGCACAGTTAATGTAATCAAGACAGACAGATACAGATATGTAGAGGGCCAGTAACAAATCAAAATCTCCACATTTTAGACCAGCTGCTTTGGTTATAAATTTAGACTTGACCTGAGGTTAGAACTACAGAATGAATGAATGAATGAATGAATGAATGAATGAATGAATGAAGTTTACATATCAGGTTATTCCATCAATAGGGGATTTTAAATGGTGGTTAACAGTTTTCTGTTTCTGAAAAGAGGTAGGTCAATATTGTCTTTTGATCTTAGTGAAATTCACAGATTCATAACAGGTTATTAGCAATCCTGAGAATACATTTTAATAATATTTCTCTGGTGGATTTATCATTTTGATGCAACCTGTAAAGGAAATGGAAACTATATTAGTCTTAGATTTAGAGGTTTTTAAAGATTTTAACTGATCTCAGTAGGAAAGCAAAATACTTATATTGCAGATCATAAAAGAGGGAAAATCTTAACTTTATTTGTATATTGACTTTCAGAGCTACTGTAAAACCAGGGAGGCATTTGTAGCCTCCTGGTAGTCTCCAAAACTGAGAAATCGTGGCCATTGCCTATATTTTGGATTATATCATCAGCACTAGCAACGAATTAAATGTATCTGAGATATTAAATACAGTTCAGTGTAGTGATTGAAAAATGTCTCTGTATTTGCTGTTCTCTGGGGAGGATGTCGAGTAGACCTCCTTAATACATACAGTATTTTTCGGAGTATAAGATGCTCTGGACTATAAGATGCATCTACCTTTTTTTGGTGAGGAAAACAAGAAAAAGAAATCTGCCTCTGCCTCCCAGCAACTTTGCCTCTTTGCAGCAAACAGCAAATAGCCTGCTTTACTTTCATTTTTGTTTTCAGCATAGCTTAATTAGCACAAGAGAGAAAAAAATCTACTCCCAGCAATTTACTTTCTTGCAGCAAGCAGCAGAGGCCTGCACAAAACAGCTGAGAGCAAACCAGCTGAGAGTCGGGAGGCCAATCCAATCAACTTGTGCTAATTAGGCTGTGCTGAAGCTGAAAGGAGCTGTTTCTTCTTGCTGCTTGCTGAAAGGAGGTACACTGCTGGGAGGCAGAGGCCAAAGGGTGGGGGCCAGTGGGTGGGCGGGGCTACATTTGGTTTATAAGACGCACCTAAATTTTCACCCCCTTTTAGGGGAGAAAAAGATGCGTCTTATACTCTGAAAAATACAGTATTTGTAGAAATAATCCCTCAATCTAGCTGAGCTTTTAGTGACTACCTGAACACATCCATATAGCATTCTTAGCAGTAATATGAACTGTTTTACCATTCTGTTCCTCTGAAATGCTTTTTCAACTTTCCAGTATATTCTACAGCCATCACAGTTCCTGGTGACCTCCATCTAAGAACTGGGTTTTTTGGGAGGTGAAGGGTAAGAGAGGGTGTCAGGCCCTCAATTGCCTTTCACTTCTGTGGCATGATGAGAAAAATATATTGACTGCAATTTATAGACCACTTTTGTGCTTATAGTTGACTGGAAAAATGAAATAAACGTTCAAGCCCAAAAAATATTATCTAAAGTTCATGACAGAATTTATTATGGTCCACCAATACAGACATTGGTATGATCCTTGGTTTATGACTGAAATTGAGCCCAGAATGGTGATTGTCAGTCATGCTGGTCATTAAGAGGGTTATTTTCACAACCTTCATAGGAATAATGAAATTAAAACAAATTGCTATTCTGACTTGAAGAATAGAGAACATCCCAAGGACCGATTGGAGATAATGAAAAAAAAAAAATTCAACCTCCTTTAAATGAAATGATTTGTTAAATGGAACAAACAGCAATTCCCGAGAAACATAGATGGCTAAAGCTATAAAACAGGAAAATAATTATTGCCTTTTTTATTTAAAGCTTTGCATTTTCACTGGTCCTCTATTTATAGTCTCTATATTTTGTAAACTTAGCATTCATTTCCTTTCCTTTTCCTTGGCCTTTGCTCCCTGTTGCTCAGTTGTTGCATCCAAATTGAGGAACACAAACTTCCTATTTTACCTTCTCTTGGCAATCTTGCAACAGGAATACGAAGCCAAGGGTAAAGTCATTAAGCAATTTGTATCAATGCAGCTACTTTGTATTGAATTTTGTCTGGTTCCAGAAGGTCTCCTGCAAACTGGTGCAGTTGCTGCTGTTTTCGTCTTATTTTAATTTTTGTCCAAAAATTTATACCTTGCCTATCTTACCTCAAGGTAACTCTGAGTGGTTTGCAACCACCTCAAGCCAGCAGTTTGAGAAACATAATTTACAAAAAGGATGGTTGCAAACCACTCAGAGTTACCTTGAGGTAAGATAGGCATGGTATAAATTTTTGGAAGGGAAAGGAAGGGAGGCGAGGGAAGGGAAAGGAAGGGAAGGAGGAAGGAAGGGAAGGGAAGGAAGGAAGGAAGGAAGGAAGGAAGGAAGGAAGGAAGGAAGGAATACACTGCAACTCAGCACTAGTTAATGCAGCCATGAAGACCTTGAAAAATATATTCAAACACAGTGATTTTTCTCTACTTAGAAAAATCAGAATCAAGGATGCTATGGTATGCCTTATGACACTCTGTGGAAGTGAAAGTTGGATAGGAAGACTATTGAACTTCGGTGTTGAAGAAGACTCCTAAGAATACCACTGGAAGGTCAGGAAGACAAACAAATGGATCAATGAACAAATCAAACCAGAGTTCTCACTTTAGGCCCAAATATCCAGGTTCAAATTATCCTGTGTTGGATATGTCTCTTTCTTCATAGAACATAGCATAATAGCATTGGAAGGGATCTTGGAGATCTTCAAGAGATGCTATACTATTCCAGATAAATGGCTGTCCAATCTATTTTTGAAAACCTCCAGCACCCACAACTTCTGGAGGTAAGCAAATTGGATTGTTCTCAAATTTCCTGCTCTTGCCTTGTTATCTGCTTAGTATGTTTGTGTGTGTGTATGTGTGTGTGTGTGTGTGTGTACTGGCTATGTAATACTTTGCCTTACCATGTCTGATTTCTATTGTTCGTTTTGTTTTTCTTGTAAATTTGTTTGATCTTTTCCGTATTCAGTAAGCCTTCATGGTGTACTAGCTTCAGTGCATCTTCTTCAGATGTCTTTCAGATAATTCTTCCTTTTATTCTTTTCTTATTCTCTTTCTTTTTCTTCACACAAAATTCCACTTCCACCAAATTATTTTTCAACGATGGAGGTCCGGTATCTATTTCCCCATGGGAAAAATTAAAAAAAGAAATGATGATCAAGAACAGTGCTTTTGCTTCCTTCCCAAAAGCTATCTTCCTGCTTTTCCTCAAGATGTAAATAATTATTTGCATGGAAGTGTTTGAGTAAAATTCAGAATGGAGGCTATTAAACTGGATAGATCAATTGCCTAATTCTAAGACAACTTCAGGTATCAATTTTTATTTGGCTCATTGTTATTTGGCTGGAGGAAAATCCAAGAACAGGAGCCCTATGTTCAAACACTTACTTGTTGGGGCTGATAAAATTAAATTGAGAACTGGGCTCATGAACTGTCTCCAGAGCAGAAGTGTTGCTAAGAAATCGGCTCAATATACAGAGACTCCCCCAAAGAACTTAAGTTGGACAGAGTACAGCCAGCATGTGGCTGGATATGGTTGGAAACCTTTCTTGGCAGCAATTGCTGTACTTATAATACCGCAAAAGTGGGGGAAAGCAGCCCAAGAAATTATCCATAAAAGGTGTAGCTGGCTGGTAAACAGAAGCTTTTAGCCGCCAAGAGCAACTGAGCTTTCATGTTTTCACATTTTGGAGTGAAGAATTGAAATAGTGTCTTGGCAGGATTTAAGGAAGCAGATAGCCGCACAATAAGAATGGCTTTATTTGCCTATAAATCAGTTCAGGGACATATGTCTGATATACTATAATTTCTCTCTCTCTCTTTTTTTTTTAAAAAAAAGAAAACTCAATGTCTAAATTTGCTGCACTGAATAACAGATTTAATAATATTACTGAGCCATATCCAGATGAAAGGGGAGGAAGAAGAGGACGAGGAAAAGGAAAAGTGAATGTTTTTACAGTACAAGGTAAAGGTAAAGGTTTCCCTCGCACATACGTGCTAGTTGTTCCCGACTGTAGGGGGCAGTGCTCATCTCTGTTTCAAAGCTGAAGAGCCAGCGCTGCCCGAAGACGTCTCCGTGATCATGTGGCCAGCATGACTAAACCCCAAAGGCGCACAGAACGCTGTTACCTTCCCACCAAAGGTGGTCCCTATTTTTCTACTTGCATTTTTTACGTGCTTTTGAACTGCTAGGTTGGCAGAAGCTGGGACAAGTAACGGGAGCTAACCCCGTTATGCAGCATTAGGGATTTGAACCACTGAACTGCTGACTTTTTGATCGACAAGCTCAGTGTCTTAGCCACTGAGCTACCGTGTCCCTTTTACATTACAAAGAACCTCCAAAATGACTTGAATTGCTTTTCTCTCCCCACTGATGTAAGGAAGTATATTAATTATATCAGCGCAAAAATAAATTGAATTAGGTGTTATAATATGGAGGGAAATTAACTAGGAAATTGCTATTTTCGGTCCTGTGGCCTAATATTTATATATAAATATACAAATATTTTCAAATGTTTCTCATAGGTTTTTCCTTGCTGATTGCTCTCCATTTGATAAATTCCAGCTTGTCAATATACTCCTTAAAATATGGAGTAATATTCCAATATGCAATAGAATAATGTCCAGAACAGTTTTCTATATGCTGTTGGATCAGTGCAAAATATAGAAGAATGATGATTGCCGTTGAATACCACATTATACTTCAGCTAATGAATCCTGGGATCGTCCTTCCTTCCTTCCTTCCTTCCTTCCTTCCTTCCTTCCTTCCTTCCTCTGCCTACACACTGTTGGCTCATATTCAGCTTATGATTTACCAATTTCTATATTTAGCTTATTTCTATACCTGTTTCAGGCTCTACCCAGAAATTTATTAATTCTACATGAAGAAATTACTTCTAAATAGATATGCACTGATGCCACTTCGATTAAGCAGACCTCTTGAGGGGACATTCACATCATATAGGCAAATAGGATCTGCAACTTGGAAAGCCATGAAGACAGGAGGCTGAGATACTCATGATAATTGCTCTTATGGAAATAAGTAAGTTAGAAACTCTGGCTGGTTTTCAAGCTGTCCCTGCCTTCAACTCCTTCAGAAAACATGGGCTTCTTGAGAAAATATTTGCTGGTATTTGAGGGACCGGCAAGAAACTTGGATTTAGTGCATATGCATGTGAGAAGATACAAGACTCAAATAGCCATGAAGAAATGGCAGCCAGCCACCTCTTTCATGGACCGTTTGCAAACAGTAGTGATGTACATCCACCAAAAGAAGAAGAACAGCATCAAGAAAAATGGATGGCATGAGAGATACTGCATTTAAAGCCAATGTGTTCAAGAGGTTTTATTTCCATCTTAATCCTTGTGGAACACATTCAAGGTCTTGCAGTTCATGGAACTCTCTCCCTCTCCCCTTCTATTGCTCTAGAGGTGTTTCTCTGTATGTCTTCAGAGCATCTGGGCTCCAGAAATAACTTCATGCCGGATACTAAAACTACATAGTATTGAAAAATATGCTGATGCTATTTAGCTAGATATGTCCGCCCCTGGCAGACAAAGCGAGGTTGTCATATTGTTGGCCCAGTTTTTGGAGGCTGTAAGAGTTTCAGAGAGGAGGAACCAGCTTTAATTTGACACTAGCAAAAAAGAGCACCTCCTGTATTTTTGATCTCCCTGGCTGTGTTGAGGTATCATCTCTGTCTTTGGCTAGGTTTCATCTTCCATGGTGGAGCTGGTGTGCAGTTTGTGGATCTCTCTGGACTCACAGCTTCTCCTCAAGGAGCAGGTAGCATATGTGGCTTGGAAGCTTTCGTATAGATTCATCTTATGGTTCAATTGTATTGTACCTATTCCTGGACAAGAAAGCCTTGCTCACTGTCAGTCACAATCTGCTCACATTTCAGATGGCTTTCTATAACAGTGGTCACCAATTGATGGTCCGTGAAAAATTTTTGGTGGTCCACAGAAAAATTATTTCCATTTTTTAAATTGCACTAAATACTATTTAGCTTTTTAAAAAATTCATATTAGTGGTCCGTGGGATTTAAAATTATTAATTTAGTGCTCCCTGAGATCCAAAGGGTTGGTGACCCCTGTTCTATAATGTGCTCTACATGGGGCTGTCCTTGAAGACCATACAGAAATTACAGCTGGTTCAGACTGCAGTAGTGGGTAGAGTTTTGGGTTTTCAATCATTCACCAATGTTGTGTCTGTAGGTGACCAGGCGGAGCTCGGGGGAGGAGTCAAACATGTCATCAGTCTCGAGTCCCTTCACACCACCAGAGATTTAAATCCAGTCCACTTTGAATTCTGTTGACTTTTATGTACCACCAATTTGTTTTGACTACTACCTGTTCAGATTCTTCTGAGGAGAGTTAGTATGCAATAAATGTACGTTCATTTGAATCACCTTGACTCCTGATTTCCTGTGCTTGACAATATCATTGCTGCATGAATACACAGGCTTCCCGTTTCTTTCCCGGTCCAATTCAAAGTGCTGATTATCATTTTAAAAGTCCTGAATGGCACAGGACCAGGTTATTCATGCCTCTACCTGAAAATTTTATCTATTTTATCAGTTCCAATAGTGAGTAAACTCCAGGTCCCTTCCCTTAAATGTTGCCATCTAGCATGATCCAGGCAGCATGGGTTGGGCCAGGAGGGGGGGGTTCCCCTCGTTGAAATGTGCCCGCCAGGTTTCCAAGCATTCCATCAGCCGAGGTCACAGGGGAGGGGCGGGGGGGGTAGCGGTTATCATTAAAGAAGGTCTGAGACCGAGGGAGGCCACTGTTCCTCAGACGGCCGGCTGTGAATCCCTTTTTGTGAAATGGGGTCATGGGGTTCAGATGGGTTTGCTGATCACGTACCTGGCTCCCTGCCACGTGGCAACAGCCCTGCCCGAGCTACTCAACGTCATCGCCGCGGTGGCGGTTGATACCCCTAAGCTTATGGTTATGGGGGATTTCAACCTGCCGTCCGTGGGTGAGACGTCAGAGATGGCTCGGGAGTTCATGGCTTCCATGACAGCTATGGACCTGACCCAGTTAATTCATGGCCCTACCCACACAGGGGGAAACACGCTGGATCTGGTTTTTGTCTCTGGACAGTGGTTGAGGGATCTTGATATAGGGGATATAGTTACTGAACCCTTGTCATGGTCAGATCACTCTCTCCTTCGTCTCGACTTTCAAACCGCTGCACCCCGCCGCAGGGAGGCGGAGCCGGTCAGATGGTTCCGCCCCAGGCGCCTGATGGAACCTGACAGATTCCAGACGGAGCTTGGGCCATTTCCTGAGGTTCTGGCACACGCCTCGACTGGAGACCTGGTGGCCGCCTGGGATAGGGCGGCTGCTGGTGCTCTGGATCGGGTCGTGCCTTTGCGGCCTCTGACCCGGCGCCGATCTCAATTGGCTCCTTGGTTTACCGAGGAGCTGAGGGAGTTGAAGCGCCGGAAAAGACGCCTAGAGAGTAGTTGGAGGGCCAGTCTTCTTGAATCTGACCGGACACTAGTAAGATCCCACATTAGGAATTACTTAGTGGCGATAAAAGCAGCGAAATGTAGTTATTTTGCTGCTCTTATTGCGTCATCAGATAATCGCCCGGCCGCCCTCTTTAGGGTGACCCGCTCCCTGCTCCACCAGGAAGCGCGGGAGGACCCCTTGGAGGGTAGAGCCGAGGATTTTGTTCAGTATCTGTATGACAAAATCACTCAGATTCGGGAAGATTTGGACTCCGACTGGGTAGTCTCAGGGGGAGAGACAGGGGCAGGTCTTGAGAATGTTATCTGGGATGAGTTTGATCCTGTGACCCCTGAGGACGTGGACAGGATTCTGGGTAGACTGAACGCGACCACTTGTTTATTGGACCAGTGTCCTTCCTGGTTAGTACTGGCTTCCCGGGAAGTGACACGAGGCTGGCTCCAGGGGATTATAAACGCTTCGCTGAGTGAGGGTGACTTTCCCGCCGCCTTGAAAGAGGCGGTGGTGAGGCCTCTCCTCAAGAAGCCTTCCCTGGACCCGGCAATGTTGGTAAATTATCGTCCGGTCTCCAATCTTCGCTTTGTTGCGAAGGTTGTTGAGAGTGTGGTCGCGCAACAGCTCCCCCAGCACCTGGATGAAACGACGTATCTGGATCCGTTCCAGTCGGGCTTCAGGCCCGGGTACAGCACGGAAACGGCATTGGTCGCGTTGGTTGATGATCTCTGGAGGGCTCGGGACAGGGGGTGCTCCTCTGTCCTGGTCCTGTTAGATCTCTCAGCGGCTTTTGATACCATTGACCATGGTATCATGCTGCACCGGTTGGAAGAGTTGGGGGTGGGAGGCACTGTGTTGCGGTGGTTCTCCTCCTTTCTCTCTGACCGGTCGCAGTCTGTGTTGACAGGGGGACAGAGGTCGACCCCGAGGCCCCTCATATGTGGGGTGCCGCAAGGGTCGGTCCTCTCGCCTCTCCTGTTCAACATTTATGTGAAGCCGCTGGGCGAGATCATCCGTGGTTTCGGGGTGGAGTACCATCAGTACGCTGACGACACCCAGCTGTACATCTCCACCCCGGATCACCCCAACGATGCCCTTGAAGTGATGTCCCGGTGCCTGGAGGCCGTACGGATCTGGATGGGGAGGAACAGGCTCAGGCTCAACCCATCCAAGACTGAGTGGCTGTGGTTTCCGACGTCCCGATATAGTCAGTTGACGCCATCACTGACTATTGGGGGCGAATCATTGGCCCCCACGGAGAGGGCTCGCAACTTGGGCGTCCTCCTGGACTCACGGCTGTCTTTAGAAGAGCACTTGACGGCCGTGACCGGGAGGATTTTTCATCAGGTTCGCCTGATTCGCCAGTTGCGTCCCTTTCTGGATCGGGACTCTTTACGCACGGTCACTCATGCCCTTGTCACCTCCCGCCTGGACTATTGCAACGCTCTCTACATGGGGCTCCCCTTGAGGAGCACCCGGAGGCTCCAACTGGCGCAGAGTGCGGCCGCGCGGGTGGTAATGGGAGCGACATGGCGTTCCCATGTAACACCTCTCCTGCGCGAGCTGCACTGGCTCCCGGTGGTCTTCCGGGTGCGCTTCAAGGTTTTGGTTACCACCTTTAAAGCGCTCCATGGCTTAGGACCCGGGTACTTGCGGGACCGCCTACTACCACCAATAGCCTCCCACCGGCCGGTACGCTCCCATAGAGAGGGGCTCCTCCGGGTGCCGTCAGCCAAACAATGCCGACTGGCGGCCCCCAGGGGGAGAGCCTTCTCTGTGGGGGCACCTACTATCTGGAACGAGCTCCCCCCAGAGATACGGAGGATCCCGGATCTGCGCACCTTCCACCGCGCCTTAAAGACCTTACTATTTCACCAGGCCGGCCTGGCCTAATTTTCCCCCTCTTTTATAAAAGATTTTTAAAATTTTAAATATTTTTTAGTATTTATATATTCAATTTTAAATTAGTTTTAAAAGTTTGGGGTTTTAAATTTGTCGGGGCCAAAATTATTTAATTTGATTTTATTCTATTTTTTAAATTTTGTATTGTATGTGTTTTTATTGTTTGGCTGTGCACCGCCCTGAGTCCTTCGGGAGTAGGGCGGTATAGAAATCTAATAAATAAATAAATAAATAAATAAATAAATGCCTTCTCAATAGTATTTATTTTATTTATTTATTTATTTATTGCGATTTATATGCTGCCTTTCTCCCTAGGGACTCAGGGCGGCTTACAAAATGACAACTTCAATACAAATCACAATACAATACCAAATTAAAATCAGTAACCCAATTAAAAAACGATTTAAAATTATACCAGTGTACCCCCAAACGGATCAGTTTAATTGGCGGAAGAGCCACGTCTTCAGCTCGCGACGGAAGGAAAGAAGGTCGGGAGCTGTCCTGAGCTCAGTGGGCAATCCATTCCAGAGGGTCGGGGCTCCCACAGTAGTGCCTGTCTTTGGAAGAGACTTTTTAAAAAGGTCAGCAGGAACTTTCCCTTCCGACTTCCAGAAAGCCTTTTCGACCTGGCTTTCCCCACAAACCTTGGGTTAGGGCATGGATAGAGTCTAGTACAGGTGATTATAACTATGTATTTGTGTCCTGTTTTAGAAGATTCCAGGAGATTTATATATTTATTTATTCATTTATTTAATTTCATACGCTGCCCATCTCACATAGAGATGACTCCAGGCAGTTTACAATAAATAAAAACAAGATAAAACATTAAAGCAATGAATGCTAACACTATAGGTCAGGAGTGTCAAACTCAAGACACAAGGGCCAGATCCATCCCTCAGAGTGCCTAAATCTGACCTGTGAGGCTGGCCTGGAAATACCAAAGGACCGGCCCACAGTGCCTCTGGCAGTCAAAATGGAGTGCGGGGCGGGCTTGCAAAGTGCTGCAAGAGACCATTCAGGCCAAAAACAGCCCGCAGGGGAGGCACACGTGCCCCCCATCCCATTTTGGCCAGCAAAGTGCTTCAGGAGGCCGTCCAGACTGAAAATGGGCCACGGGGACTGCATGGCCCCCACCCATGCCCTGTTTTGGCCAGCAAAATGCTGCAGGAGGCATCCGTCCTGTCTCCCCCCCCCCAGCCTGCGAGGGAGAATTACTGTGCTGATCTGGCCCTCGAAGAAATCCAGTTTGACACCCCTGCTATAGATGATTAAAATTGACAAAGTTGGGAGAGAAGATGCACATAGAAAGGAGGAGGGTCTTATCTTAGTCCATTAACCACCTCCAGAATGACATGCCCCCTTTGGGCCCAAGACTAGTAAGGACAGCAAGGTCTTCAGGCCCCTTCAGAAGACCAAAAAGGGTGGGTGCAGGTGTCAGTTCAGGGGACACAATGTTTCAGAATGGCAGAAAAGGCTCTTCTCTTGGACCCCATCAGACAGAATTTCTTGACAAACACCTTCTACTGGCAAGGGTGGGGCAGGCTAATCCTATTGGGCTGAGATGGTTCCTCAGATAACCTGGGCCAGTGCCATGAAGGACTTAAAGATTTACCTTTGGTAATGGTTTTTAGAATTGTTACTGTTTTTATTGTTTGTAAACTGCCCAGGTTTATGGTACACAAGAGGGGCAGTTATATAAGTCAAATAAATAAGCAAATTAGGCAGTTTCTTCTTAATCACATTTGATGCCCATACTCAAAGTGAGGAACACCCAAAAGTTCTGCAATTCTGCTAGGAACATACTCGGTAGCAACTAAACGAGCCTGGTTTAGCTCTGCAGACTAAAGCACCGTAATTAACATCCAGCTGTCTGCAATTACACCAGTTCGAATCTCCCCAGGCTCAAGGTTGACTCAGCCTTCCATCCTTTCTAAGGTAGGTAAATTGAGGACCCAGTTTGTGGGGGCAATAAGCTGACTTTGTATAAATATACAAAAGTATGAAGGCTATTGCTTAACGCATTGTAAGCCA